GTCCCAGGGCTCAGGGAAAAAGGTGTCAGATCACATTGAGGACGGTGTAGAGGAGAGAGACCTCCAGGTCTCCCCAGGTAGGGGCACAAGCGCAAGGTGCACTGTGATGACAGAAAGACACTGTGTAACCTTCTGAAGAGATGTAGCCAAACAACTTTGATGGGGAAGCGAGGGCATGAAGTCTCTCCTGGCTGTGTCCTCACCACTGGCCTCTCTGTGTCTGTCACAGACCACCCTGCCCAGCCCCAGCACAGCCCCTCACATGGCTACGATGATGCTGCGGCTGTGTTGGAGGATTCCTCCTCTCCTCATGCCAGGGAAGCCCCTGCACAGCCCCCCGAGGACACAGGCTATGACGACGTTGGTGTCAGTATCCTGGGGACACCACTGTGAGCAGACTGTGCAACAGGAACCTTTGTCCCCAAAAAGGGGTGGCTCCAGTCTTGGCAGCATCACCTCTCCCTGTTCAGTGCTGCAGAATAGCAGCAAACTGCTCCATTCTCCTTCCTGCAGATGGGATACAACAGCTAATCAGCTTTTTAAAAATTATTTTTCTGTAACTCTTTTTATTAAAACCCCAAGACTATGTGGAAACTCACAGCCTTGTGTTCTGTACCTGAGTCTGTCAGCCATTGCATGGGGACGTGGGGTAAAGCTGAATTACAGATATATCCCTGTTTGCTCTGGACATAGGTGAAACAACAGGAAGGGTGGGAGATCTCAGATATGAGTTAAGATGGCTCCCATTGCTGCTGTGCTGCAATGTACAGAGAATAACAACTGCATGTCCCCCCAGGCACACAGATGTAGGCATGCTGGTGAAGCTTTTCTCATCCATGTGATTGAGGAGACAGTGGGCAGAGATGCTGTACTGGAGCTTGCTCTCAACCACATGAAGGTTCAGCTAGGGAATGAGAAGCTCAAGGACAGCGTTGGCTACAGCATCAATGAACTGTGGAGTTCAGCATCCTTAGGGTAGTGACAAGTGCATGCAGCATGCTCACAGCCCTGGGCTTCAGGACAGTAGAGGTTGGCCATCACAGGGAAATTCTTGCTTGTGATTAGGCCCTGGAAAGGCCCTGGTCGATACCCAAGGATCACCTTCACCCAGCTCAGAAGCAACACACCCTGATGCAGAGAAAGTTTGGTAAAAACTCTGGGAGGCCTGCACGGGTTAACAAGGAACTCCTGGCCTAACTCTAACACAAACTGGAAACCTACAGAGATGGAGCAAGAATGGGCAACATTAGAGGGAAGCATGCAGCTTGAAGCATCCCTAGCATGAAGGGATACCCAAAATCATTAATGAAATAACTATAATGATCTCAACAGACCTTTACCTGAAACACTTCAATGGACTTCAAGTAATGGCCCACAGCCTACAAATAGTAATATCTCAGTGTATCAAAGGACAGGAAGGGTGGTGGTGATTCATGAGGATATTTTCTCAAGTCTAAAACCCGAGCATGATGCAGATGGTGTAAAACTACGGGTGGATATTCTGCTGGTTTTTGCTGGGATAGCATTAGTTTTCTTCCACGTAAAAGACACTCCAGCCCAGGAAGTTGCCTGTCCCCAGAAGTGCTGTGATGTCCCAGTGCCAGCAGAGAGCAGTGGCAGCACAGCAAAGCACCGCGCCTGGCGGTGGGGGTGTCCCAGTGCTTCCCGGTCAGCGCGATGTCTGATTTCATGGCTCCATGTCATACCTGGAGGTTTACACAGTGTTCTGGGCTCCTCATCCCGCTCAGATGTTACCGTAAAATCACGCTGCCCACAACTCTGTTAGGAGGCTGTCTCGGCAGATCTTTGTCTCCAGCCTCCTGATTCGGATGTTCAATGCCCAGTTGCCCAGGGATTCCTCTGTTGTCCTGAAGCCCTCCAAGGATGGCAGCCCCAGGCCAGCAGACAAGGAGTGGTGATCTTTTTCCTCTGCTCCACATTGATGAGGACACACCTGGAGTGCTGAGTCAGCTCTGGACTCTCTGGTCCAAAAGAGAGGTGGACATCCTGGAGAGAGTCCAACCAAGTACTATGAATATGATGGACTAGACCCTGTCTCCTATGAAGAAAGGCTGAGGAATCTGTGACTGTTCATCCTGAAGAGATCTTCTTTGTTCTATAGAATAAGGCAGCTGATGGGAGGGCATTAAAGTGCAGAGAAAGGCTCTTCTTGCTGGTGAGGGACAAGGTGCTCTCATTGGCCCCTTTGGCTGTTCACCACACCGCTCACTACAGCCCCATTCTCTACCAGAACCATCCTGGGAAGAGGAACTAACCAGCAAAAATAGGGGAAATGAACCTGTCCGTAAGGAAAGAGCCATGGTTATTACAGCAGCTTTTGCAACAGAAAAAACTTTAACTGTTTATTACCCAAAGCATACAGTTATGACACAGTTCTACACAGAAGGTGCCCTTCCCAACCTGGAATACTGAGGGGAGGACAGGAATAGGGTACAGGAGTCTGTAAAGGGCAGTGGGAAGTGCTGAAGTCTCCCCTAAACCCACCAGAGCCTTGTGGGGTATGGTAGAGCCAGGGTGAAGGGAGGGAGTGACTGAAGGGAGATGCACACAGTGGCATCACATGGATGCCAGCGGAGTGCTGAATAAGAGAGTTCTCCCTGTCCCATTCCCAGCAGAGCAGCTTTCACACTAAGAGGGAGATTTTACTGCAGGGAGGCAATGAGCTCCATGCTTTCCTGCCCCTCACCCAGTCATCTCTGCCCCACTCAGCCATTAGTCATGTTCACCAGCTTTCACTTCTCCTTTCCCTTCTCTTAATTCAACCGTGTGAGGAGGAACCACCCACCAGCTGCACCCCCTCCTCTTCATTTCCCCAGTCACCTCTTCACCAGTGGGACATCCAGAGTTCTCCAGCCATGGTCTGGGTGCTGAGGGTGGTCCTCCTCGCCCAGGCGGTGGCTATGGCAGTGGCAGAGGTTGAGCAGCCCCAGGAGCCGCTGTCCTCTGTGGGGTTTCAGGACTGCAAGAAGGCCCTGAAGCTCCCAAGCCTGGAAGTCCTCCCCGGGGGAGGCTGGGACAACCTCAGGAATTTAGATATGGGCAGAGTCATAGATCTGAGCTACTCACTGTGTAAGACCACTGAAGATGGGTCCTACATCATCCCAGATGACATCTTCACCATTCCTCGCAAGCAGAGCAACCTGGACATCAACTCTGAGATCATCGAGTCCTGGAAGGATTACGAAAGTGTCACCTCTGCCTCCATCAACCTGGAGCTGTCCCTCTTCTCTGCAATCAATGGCAAGTTCTCTTATGACTTCCACCAGGCCAAGACCCACCAAGTGCAGGACAAGGCAGTCACCACTCGCGTACAGGTCAGAAACCTGGTTTACACTGCCAAGATTGACCCAGGAGCAAGCCTGGACAAGGGCTTCAAGAAGCAGCTGTTGACCATTGCCAGCCACCTGGAAAACAACCAGACTCGGATGGCTGATTTTCTGTCTGAGGTGCTGGTGCTCAACTATGGCACCCACACCATCACCTCTGTGGATGCTGGAGCCAGTTTGGTCCAGGAAGATCAGATCAAGGCCACCTTCCTGAAGGACAGCTGGGCCATGCGGAGCTCCATCACCGCCTCAGCCGCTGTGGCCTTCCACAGCATAGTCAATGTGAAAACTGAGGAGTCTCAAGGCACCAGCTCTGCCTTCACCAAGCAGTACCTAGAGAACCGCACCAACTCCAGAGTAGAGAGCATTGGCGGGACCCCCTTTTACCCAGGCATCACCCTTAAGACCTGGCAGGAGGGAATTAGCAACCAGCTGGTGGCCATCGACCGCTCAGGGCTGCCTCTGTACTTCTTCATCAGCCCCAGCACCCTGCCAGAGCTGCCCAGCCCCACGGTGAAGAAGCTGGCCAAGCGGGTGGAGATGGCCATCCGCCGCTACTACACCTTCAACACCTACCCTGGATGCACCGATGCCGCCTCACCCAACTTCAACTTCCACGCCAATGCTGACGATGGCTCCTGTGTGGGGACCATGACCAACTTCACCTTCGGGGGAGTCTTCCAGGAGTGCACTGGGCTGGCCGGCCCCGACACCAATGAACTGTGCCGGGCGCTGGAGCAGAAAAACCCCCTCACCGGGGCTTTCTCCTGTCCCGCCTCCTACAGCCCCGTGCTGCTGGGCATGCAGGAGCGGGAGGAAGGCCACAGCCACCTGGAATGCCACAACAAGTGCACCCTGGGCATCTTCTGCCACCGAGTCTGCAGGGACGTCTTCTGGCTCTCCCGGGTGCAGTTCAGAGCTTATTGGTGTGTCGCAAGTGGCCCAGTGCCCCCAGACTCGGGCTACCTCTTTGGGGGGCTGTTCAGCAGCCGCAGCGTCAACCCCCTCACGGGTGCCCAGTCCTGCCCCTCGCGATACTTCTTGCTGAAGCTCTTCGATGACCTCAGGTTGTGCGTGAGCCAGGATTACGAGGCAGGCAGCCGGTACGCGGTGCCGTTTGGGGGCTTCTTCAGCTGTCAGACAGGGAACCCCTTAGGGGGTCAGCACCAGGGTACCACCGAGGACCCTTACGCCAAGCGCTGCCCCACAGGCTTCAGCCAGCACTTGGCACTGATCAGCGACAGCTGCCAGGTGGAGTACTGCGTCCAGGCTGGCGTCTTCACAGCGGGCTCGCTGCCGCCAGCGCGCCTACCACCCTTCACCCGACCCCCTGCCAACCTGCCAGCCATCGACACCGTGCTGGTGAGCAATGGGGATGGGGAGAGCGCCTGGGTGCGGGATGGGACGGGCCGTGCGTGGCGGCTGGCACAGCCCATTGAGATCCAGCAGGCAGCAGAGATGGTGAGGGGCCGGGTGCTGACGGGGGGTGAGGTGGCTGGCGTGGCTGCAGCAGTGGTGGTGGGGCTTGTCACCATGCTGGCAATGGTCTGCTACGGTCGCTGGAGGTACAAGAGAAAGGGGTACCTGGCTATGGGTGAAGGGGCCACGCCCGTGGAGAGGCCAGGGGACAGCACTGCAGTGAACATGGGCGAGGGGCACCAGCAAGAGTCAGCAAGGCTAATGGAATAAATATTGCTCAGCTGCTTGTGCTAACCTAGGCAAAGCCCCAGGCCCACTCCCTTCCCTGAGGCACAGCTGTGCAGTGCCAGCAGCCCCTGCACCTCACTCCATTCCCATGACAGGTTCACCTCTCTGCAGCTCCAGCAACCCAGCAGGGCTCCACCACCCTTCTCCTTTCTCTGGGCCCCCTGATTGACCTCCAAGGCCATCGCCTGAGGCCATCCCACCACCAGGACCCACCACATCTCTCCACCAGCCCCTGCTCTTTCCCAACTAACCCAACCAGCTTTGCTGCTTGAGAGATAAACAGTCCCCATACCCCATTACAGGCCATGCCCACTCTCTCCTCCCCATTCCCAGAAAAGGGGATCCAGTGCCCTTCAAAAAGCTGCTGAGGTTGTTGGGGTACCCAAGAGAACCTCAAAAGCAAGGGGAAGCCATGCAAACCCCCCTTCCTGACTCACCGGATAGACTCAAGTCCATCGCAGAGATACGCAGCCTGTAAAAGCATTGGCTCAGGGACCAACTCCTTGGAGAACACCCTACTCCCCCATAAGTCCCCCAGCTACTGCACACACCCAGCACCCATTTCCACCCGCAGGAACAGGAGGGCGACCCGCGCCTCCATGTATATCTATCATGATAGATATACACACACATGCAGAGAGGCACGGATCACTTTTATTTCAGCCAGCAAATAATTGCATAGGCAACACAGCATTAAAAAAAATAATAATAATAAAAAAGGAATGTTGTTAAAAAGCTGTGTCACGTTAGTCATCAACCTGGCACCTGGAGGTGGGGGCCCTCTCCCTCCCCCGGATCACATGAGGGTTTTGCATAGCTCCAGCTCAGGTTTTTCTGCAGCAGGGCAGCCTCAGGTGCAGCCATGCAGAAATCATGATGCTGTTCCCCTGCTGCAGAGCTGCCCAGATGGGGATTTCCTAGGGACAGAGGGTTTCTCCCTTGAGGTAGAAGATGACAGCCCATGCTAAGGAAGGATGGGGGGAGGGGAACGAGGTGCCTGGCCCTCCCTGTGGGTGCCCACTCCCTCGCCTGGTCACACAGACGACGGACAGAAGACAACAGAGAGGCCAGGCCACATAGGGACAGTGAGCACTCCTCCACCATCCGCTTTATTGATGCCCTGGGGTGCAGCCAGCTGATGGCGATGGACCCCGCGGACAGGGGAGAGGAGAAACAGCAACGACGACAGAATGATGCACATCAGGACGGATCCCTCCCATGCCACCGTCCCCCAGGACGGAGGGTGAACCAACCCCAAAGGAAAACAGAAAGGGACTAAACGAAAGGGGCTACGAGGACCCAACCCCACAAGGAGCAATGAAGGGGGGGCAGGGAGCAGTTTGGGCAGGGTCCCCGCCTGACTCACGAAATCAGGGTGTCTCACAGGATGGGATCAGGAGGAGGGCATAGAACAGCCTGTGGGGTGGTGCCCCCCAGCATCCCCTCGAGCCACAGGGCCCACTGTTCCCACCCCATGTGGCTCCAAGAAGTCCCTGGGTCTGGTGGGGGCCACCAGATGCCATGCAAACCCCCTCCCCTTCCCCCAGCTACACTTACCCTCCTGGCACATCAACCCCCCCAGCCCAGCCCAAAATCAGTGTGCCAATACACTGCCAGCCACCCTCCACCCCGTTGAGAGTTCACCAGGGACCCCCGAGCCATGGGACATGGATGGAACCTAGCAGGAAGGTGATGGCTTCCCATCTATCCCTACTTCACAGAGACCCATGGGTGACAGCTCCACTGTGAGGCACTGAGCCCCTCTGGGTCAGTGTCCCCCTTTCCTCACCCCCAGATCCAGAGCACCACCAGGCCTGGCCATAGCACCATGTTCCCCTGGCCACCTCCCAGCCACCACCACCTATATGTACATATATACGACAAACCCCCAAAACACGAGGTATATAAAATTCAACACGGGGACGCCCCCATACAAACAGTTCAAAGAACCCACTACTGGGGGGAGCAGGGGCGGGAGACATGCTTCCCCCCCCACACTCAGCTTCCAACCACCCTCCAAGCCCTTCCCAGTACAGGGGCAGCCCAGACAATGGGACCCCACAGGGCACAGCTCAGACATAACCAAGAGGAGGAGGAAGGACAAGGGGGTCTGGTCAAGATGCACCAGAGCCCCCAACCTCTGTGGACAGAGAAGATCAGTCGGGATGTACCAGACAGGACAGACAGACAAAGAGACGGGTGAGGAATGAGCTAGGGCCATAGCCAGAGACCCCACAGCCCGGCTCCCACCCACTGCCCAGCACCAGGATGGGGTCCCAGGCCCAGGTGGGTACCAGGGGCACCAAGTCAGACTGGGACGTGGGTGATTAGGGAAAGAGGTGTCCTGGCTTGCCCTCCCCACTCCCACAGAGCCCTGGCAGCAGCACGCAACATTTGCGTGGGACAACACACAGCAGCAACTGGCTGCTGGGGACGGCCAGAACAGGGTCACCGTTGCAGCTCACAGCACCAGCCAGCAGGGAGGGGACAACCCTAAGACACTCTCACACATCCCCATTGACCTGCAGCTGCTTCCACTGCCCTCCCAATGCCCCAGCTGGGTTTCACTGGTGGCTTCTATCCTTGGATACAGCAGTGGGAACCCTTGCCATGGCCTCCCTACCACCAATCTCAGTCCTTCTCCTGTGCCAGACTCTCTTCTGTGATGCCCTGGGCTGCGAGCTCAGCCAGGACGTTGTCCAGGTAGTTGATGTCAGGGTAACCGTGGCCGGTGAGATTGGAGCCAAACTCCGTCTTGTGGTGGATCTCATTCCATATCACTGTGTCTGACTCACCCGTGGTGCTGGAGGTCCCGATGGCAAAAATCAAGCGCCGATCCCAGGCTACAAGCAACAACTTCAGTACCTGGGGAGGGGGAGACGGGGCAGGCAGCAAGGTGGGCACAGGAGCTGCAGGCAGCACCCACCTTTGCTCAGCACTTGACCACCCATCCAGGCAAGCCCTCACCAAGGCTGACCAGGGATCCCAGGAGCAGAGTCCTATCCCATGCTGTTTACCAACCAAAATAGCAGAGCTCTCTAGCACACCCAGGTCAGGCTACAGGGAAGGAAGATCTTCACCTGGATTTGTCTGCCAAAGCCAAGCCTGCTTTCCTCCTTGCTCCAAATCCCTGTTCCTGTCCCTCTTCCCCTCACAAGCATGCTTTGCCAGCCTGAGCACCTCACCTTCCTGCCCTTCTCGCTGTCGGGCAGGTAGCAGTGCCGTGGGAAGCCACGGGCAGTGAAGCTCTTCCCTGGGTTTGGATGCTCTGGTCCCTACAACATGCAATGGAAGAGAAAAATAAAATACAATTTAGAATTCAAAAGCACACTCTGGGTGCAACAGAACACCGAAACTCCATCAGAGGTAGAGTTGCTTGCTGCCACATGAAGAGGGCTTAATCACAGAGCAGCTGCGCTCAAACAGCAGCCCTAAAATTACCACCCCCAGCCTTAGGTTACAGATGTAACAGCAGCAGGGCTGCGGGTCCCCACAAGGATGGCTCACCACCAACGCACTCCCCAGGACGCACCTGCACCCCTGGGGGGATGTTGTAGATGATACGGATGGTTTTGCAGTCAGAGTGGCCGGGCAGTGCGTGAGGGATGATGTGGTACTCCATCTTCCCCGGGGGCTGCGTCCCCGTCTTCACCCCATAAATGGTTTTGCAGGTTGGGCACTGCAGGCTGCCATCCTGAGAGAGGGAAATAATGAAAACAGTGCTCCCCAGCGCCACCCAGCACGAACACACAGACATCTCCAAAGCACTCAGGAAGCAGGAGGGGACAGGGAGGGCCTGCAAACCAACTGGAACCAAACACCCGAGGTCTGAACTGTTCTTCCTCATCAACTTCATGAGCCCTACCTCTGTTTTTTTGTTTTGGTTTGGCAGAGAGAGAAACAGATGGCAGAATAACAATCTCTAAGCAACGTGGAATGCGTTTTCCCAGGCACGCCAAACAAAACAGCCCTGTGCAGAGGACTCAGAAGTCCACCTGCAGCTGGAAAAGCAGCAGTGGTGTGTGCACCGACCAAAGGTCACCTCCCCAGCCCTGGGAGGGAAGTGAGGACAGGAACCACAGTGGGGAAACAAAACAGCCATACAAGCCCAGTTTGTGATTCAGCATTTCCAGCAAAAATCTGCCCTCCACAGAATGTTTTATGGAGACATGTAGTTATGGCATGCACCAGGGCCCCCCCACATCACCAAGATGGGGGTTCAGTCCCCCAGGGCTGCAGCCTCACACCTTGTTGCCGTTGTTGTACATGGCCACCAGGCAGTGGAGGTGGAAGATGTGGCCACACTTGGCCAGCTTCCCCACCAGGTCAGGCTTGATGGCTGGCTGGGGGCCCTTGTAGCCGGATGGTGCCGAGAGCCGCTCCATGCAGATGGTGCAGTCCTGCATGGAGAATGGATGGATAGGGCCCTCTGACACGTGCCCAGGGCATGCAGCCCCTCTTCAGAGGAGCCAGAAGGAGAGGCTGCAGATACATAGCACAGCCCAGGGGCATTGCCACCTCCCACCCTGTGGACAGCCCAAGCCAACCCGGCTGTTCGCACCTCATCCGGCGGATGCCGCACCTTCTGCAGGTATTTCTTCAGCACCTCTTCTGGAGCTTTACCTGAAGGAAAGAGAGAGTCAGCAGGGCTGGGGCGGGTAGGTCTACAGCCAGGATGGTGGGAAGGGCCACAGGAGGCTCACCCTTCTTGGCCTGTTTCTTGGTGGTCTTGCGGCAGGTGTGGGAGATGCCAGGGATGGACTGGATCTCGCTCTTGCTGACAGGCGGGGGGTGCAGCACCAGCTTGGGGGGCCGCGTCAGACAGACAGGCAGCCCGGCTGCACTCATCAGGATCCCTGTGATGCCTGGGGGGGGAGGGGGCAAAACAGCACTAAGGAATGAGGAAGACCCCACAGACCTCCCTGGTGGGGCCATCCTCACCTGCCAGAGCTGGGTTCACAGGGCTGGAGCCATTGAGGTTCTTCACGGGGACAGTAGGGACCCTGCAGAGAAAGCACAGGACCACATCAGGGCCTGTGGCCCACACCAGACAGCAGTTTCCCAAGCAACCAAGCAGGCCCTGGCTGGAAGGAGAGAATTCCCCACCCAGCCCTGTGCCCCCCGCCCTGCTGCCGCCTTTTCTCTTGCTCTTTAGAAACTCCGCCTGCATCTCCAAACCATTCACAGCCTCTTTTTGTCACTGGGTTGCTGGGTTTTTTTCCCCCTCCATTCTCCTACAGCCACTGCATAGCTGCTCCCCCCGCCCCGCGTCAGGGCTCTTTTCCATGGGAAAGTTTCCCGGTAGGTCAGGAGCGCAGAGGGAAGGGGGAAGACAGAGGGAAGGAAAGGGGCCAGGCTGTGACAGGAGGCCGACAGCAGAGCAGACAAAAGAGAGAAATGGCGCATTGAGCAACCCCCACCCCACCACAAAAAATGGTCCTCAGAGGGTGCGGAAGGACCCCTTCTCACAGGGCCCTGAATGTCTTTTCTGTGGCAGGGGAAGGGTAGGGGACAGAGAAAGGACTGAAGAAAGAGCAGCCCAGCCTCCTCATTGAGATGCAAGACAGCATTCTGTGCTGCCCGCTCCCTCCCCACGTAGGGACCATGGGTGCCTGTGGGGAGAACGAAGGGCCGGCAGAGCCCTCTGCCCATGGGGAAGAGCGGGGGCTTCTCTCCCCCATGTAAATGGCTCAGAGATGCGACTCCCTTTTCTTCTCACAACTGCCCCTCGCTCACACACACGCAGCAGGACTCACCCCGAGGCAATAAGCACGCGGGACTGGGCGATGGCCAGGCGCTGCAAGTGGCTGCGGTTCAGGGTGCCGAGGCCGGGCCGGGCCGCCTTGCTGCTGCCCGCGCCGGGGGGGCTTGCAGCAGGGCCGGCTGGGCTCAGGGCAGGTGCGCTGGCTGCCTGCCGCCGGACACCCTGTGAGCCCAGAGGCTTCAGCGATCCGCGCGCTGCGGCCGTGCCGTCAGGCACCTTGGCACCCGGGGTGGGTGCCGGGGCCTTGGGGGTAATGGGAGGAGCAGGGGGAGCTTTGCGCGGCTGCAGGGTAGCAGCCCCCAGGCCGCCGGCTGACACAGCAGCTTTGACGCTCATCACCAGGAGGCACTGGGGGCAGGCACAGGCGGGGGCCGGGGGGGCCGCTGCCGCCCCGGGGCTGGCCGGCCAGGACTGCGACTTGGGCAGGGTGCCCGACACCAGGGGGTACACCATGTCGAGGCGGCGGCGGACGCGGCGCTTGCGCTGGGTCTGCCGGTTGATCTGGCCCATAGTGGCGAAGTCGATCACGTAGCAGAAGCCGATGGTGCTGAGGTCCACCCAGGGGTGCTGCTTCTCGTACGCACGCTGGATGGTGATGCCCACGTCCATGTCGTAGGGAGTCCAGGAGCCGCTGTCGTTCTCCCACTCCCACACGACGCCTTTGCCCGGTGCCGAGGACGGGTCATAGTAGCTGCGCCGCACGGGGCGGATGGTGCCTGCGGAGGGGACAGAGATTTCATCAGAAGCCAGCACCAGCCAGTGGGCAGGGAACACCAAGGAACTGCCCCGACCGGCCTCGCTGGTGTTGAGATGACAGCTTCCTGACTCAGCCACTGTCCCCACCCTGCCACGGGAACAGCGTGCCTCAGTTTCCCCAGGCCACCCCGGCACCAACGTGACGCCCGTCAGCCCGTCACTGCACACCTCAGCCAGGTCCCGCCTGGCACCGCAGCAGAACACGATCGTCCTGCTCTGACCGGCCACGTGTCCCCCTAAAGCCCACAGGAATGTCAGTCCCCCTTAATCCTGACCCCTACCACTACCATCAGCTCCCATGCCAGAACGGGTTCCCCCCGCGCAGGCTGGAGATCAGAGAAGTGGGTCACCGCCCCATCACGCACAGAGGCACCTGGTGGGGGAAAAGCTGCCGGCACAAAGCAGCGCCGGGGCCAGAGGGGAGCGGGGCCTCGCCGCACGCAGTGATTTATCCTAATCCGGCGCGAGGCAAGGAGGGCGGCAGCGACGGCATGCGGCATCTGGCGGCTCCGGCGCTGTGGGAAAGTGGCGTGTCCCCCCCGGCCCGGCGGCCGGCTGGCCTCCCATTCAGCGGGGGAAGAAAGGGGACAATAGCTATTCAGGGCCTGCCAGGGTCGCGACCCCCCCAAATCAGAGCTGTTTAATGACCCAAAATACCGACATCCCCGGCAACCCGGGGAGAGGCAGAACAATTCCCCTTTCAGGCCTCCTCCCCTGGGCAACAATAGCTCTCAGACACATGGCGCTGAATGCTGTCCCCTGGCACCAAAGGTCCCTTGTCCCCGAGCACCCGGGCGGGCCACGGTTCCCACCAGCCCCGGGCTGCTGGGGAAGGCAGCACCACCAGGGGACACCGCCTGGGGACAAGGGACGCTGCCATCCCTTTCCTACGGCCAAGCGGGAGCTGCCAGGGGAAGGAAGGGGCACAAACGCCTGTGCCAAGCACACCCCACACATCAGTGCCCTGCATTTCTTACACCTGCACTCAGCCCTCGGGGATTTCCCAACACCTGCCCGCGCCCCCCACCTGGTGTCCCCCTGCAGCCCCACCTGTACCCTGCCATGCTCCAGGGCACGATTTGTCCCCACGGTACCCCATAGGGCCAGGGGAGCACAGGGAGAGCCTCACACACAGAGGAAGGGTTTGCAGGGAACAGAAGAGGTCCGCAGGCCCCGGCCACTAGGGCAAAAGGCTGCTTGTTGCAACAGGGCTCGGGCAGTAGCACGGCCAGCTAGGGGCAGGGAGCACGCAGGCAGCAAGGAGCAGAGCTGTGCAATTCCAGGTCAGGCGGTGCGAGGCAAACCCGAAGCTCAACGTGATGCAACACGGGGTTCGGCGAGGCGGGCAGGAGCAGGCGGCACGGCACGGCACGGCACGGCAGCGCAACCGCGGGGCGGGCAGCGGGACGTGGAACAGAGCGGGGCGGCACAACGCAACGCGGGATCGGGAAAGGCAGCGCAGCGCAACCCGGCTCCGGCAGTGCGATGCAGCACGGGCCCGGCAGCGCAGCACCGCGCAGTGCACCGCGATTCCAGGTCAGGCGGCACCGCGCGACGCAAGGTGGGAACGGGGGCGGCCCCGGGCCGGCCGGGCTCACTCACCGGTGTCCTGGCGGAACTGGTGCATGGACTGCAGGTCGATGATGTAGGGCGCCAGGCGGCTGTCAGCCTGGCCCAGCACCACGCTGCCGCCCGCCCGCGGCCCGGCGCGGGCCACCGCCTCGATGTGATGGCTGACGGCCGGGCTGTAGGGCCGCCACCGCCCGTGTTCGTTCAGCCATTCCCACACCACCACGGCGGAGGCGAGCAGCATCGCTCCTCCGGCCCGGCCCGCCGCCGCCGCCTCCTCCCGCTGCCCGCGGCCGCTGCAGCCCGCCCCGCCGGCTCTCGCATGCTCCGCGGGGCCCTGCCCTGCCCGCCCCGGGGCCGCCAGGGGCCGCTCAGCGCCGCGCCGAGCTGCAGCGCCTCTCCCCGGGCGAGCGGCCCGCGGCGGCGGCGGGCGGCGGCGGGGGGCGGCTCCGCATCGCAGCGCCCGCGCACCGCGCACCGCCCGCCCCGCGCGGCCCCGGCCGAGAGCGCGCTCGGGGAGGCGGGGCGCCACGCCCCCTTCGGAGCGGAGCCCCGGGAAGCCACGCCCCCTCCCCGAGGCCACGCCCCCAGCCGCGTCCCTCCGGAGCGCGTCTCGGCGCCGTCCGCCGCCAGCTGCGCTCCTCTCGTTGAGTGTTTCCAGCGCTGATTTTTTTCGCTATTAAGCGAAGCACCCATCGGGGCCCGTTCTGGGGAGAACCACGCGGGTGGCTGCAAGAAAACCGTGCCCTGGTTTCTGGCAGTTGCCCATTGTACATCTGGAAATGCCACCTCCAAGCGGGGCAGATCGCAGAGTTGGAAGGGTCTTTGAGGACCCTGGCGAGCTGCTCGGGCAGTGTCTGATGTCCTCGCTCGTTGAGCCCTGGCGTGGCTGCCAGCAGCTGCCCCGGCCCGATCGGGTTGCAGGGCACTGTGCCAGGGCCGCTGGGGCCCCGCTGACATTCAGGTCACCTCCTGCTTGGGCTTCTGCCCCCACCCCGCTGTCCCAAAGCTAACAGTGGGACTGGGCTGAGCATTAGGCTTGGAGAAGTGGGGGGCTGTTGGGAGGGTGGGTGTGGGCCCCCAGGTGCTGCTGAGAACGAGGGTGTGTGGGGAGAAAAGAAAGTTGTGTGCTTTTGCACATAGTGAGATGTGGGAGAAAGCAATGCTTTGAGTAATCCCCAAAAAAATAAATGCCAGAAATAGTTACAAGTGCACGGAAGCAGAACCATGCAAGTAATCCAATGGAAGTTGCAAATCTGAGGCTGGACAACCAGCAGTGGTGAGGAAGGTGCATGTCCTTCCACCGCAAGTTCCACTTTATGTGCCAGGCACCCCCATCCCGACCCCATAGGGCAGCCCCTGTCCTACATGCCCAACAAGCACCACCCAGCCTTGCCCTCCAGCCCCCCCCCGGCTGTGCAGACGCTGCTGGCGCTGGGGCGGCACTGTGCCAGGAGCTTCCAGCACCCGCTGGGACAAAGGCACTTTGTGCAGGGCCAGTGGCGTGGCCATGCCTCACACTGTGCCCCGAGGAACAGGAACCCCCTGCAGCATGTTGCTCTTGGGGTCGAGGAGAAGGCAGAGCCACAAAGGGACAGGGGGTAACGTTGCAGCTGTACCTCCCCTGTGAGCCCTCTGCAGCTTTCTCTCGCCTCCTTCTCAGCCACACCAGTCCTTCACCCTCCTCCCAGACCCCTCACACTCCTGCCACGAAGAAAAGTACTTCATTAGGAACAAGGCAGCCCAGTGACTCCTGCCCCCAAGAAGTAACAGCACCCCAGTGGCTCTCCACATGCTTTATTTGCTCAGCATCCACCACAGCCACTCAGAGAGAAAACAGCATCCAACAGTGGCTGGGGCTGTTCGCTTCTCCCTCTTCAGTCTTAAAACAGCCCCCAGAGGCACGAAGCCCCTGGCAGAGGGTCTTTCGAGTCAGCCTTCTATATAAATACCCTCTCTATATCCTGTCTGACCGGCTAAGAAATGCCATCCAGCTCAAAATCCCACCCCCCTCCTGAGAACGGCCCCAAGCAGTCAGAGCAGAAATGCAACATGCAGAACACACAGGCCGGGTGGGAGCTGTACAGGAGCAGAGAGAAAAGGGAGCTCCTGAAGGAGGCAAAGCCTCAGGCCTTGCGGAAGGGGGACAATTCCTGAGCCGCCTTTCACCAGCTGATGCTTCCACATCGCTCTCACCCCTGCAATAACCCCGAGGCAGCTCCCCTCCTCCAGAAGCATCACCCAGCCATCAGGAGACAGGCAGCAACCCGGTCCCACAGAACAGGGCGGCCCTGCACAGCACACTGGTGGTCATGGCTTCCAGGCCATGGTGGGGTTGCGGGTCATCCACAAGGCCCACCTCGCCAGGAGTTCCCTCCCTGCGCCTCAGTTTCCATCACAGGGAAAGGGGCCCATTAGGAAGCAGAAGGGCCCTGGGTTAGTAGCGTGGCCCCTTTGCTCCCTGAAGCCCCCGTGCCTGTCAGCAGCCCTGCACAGAGATGGGCCCCCAGCTAAGCCCCATCTGGGCCAGGGCTCCCCACCTCCATCACTGGCTCTCGGGCAGACCCAGTGCCATGCCGCTGCCTGGGCCGTGCTTGGCGAGCTGCCGCAGGTCCCGCACCGACCTGACGGCCCACTGGGCCAGCTCCCGCAGCACCCCCAGGCCCCGCAGCTTCTGCTCGAAGAGGCTGAGGCGTGGGAGTGCAGGGGGCTCGGAGCCCTCCTCAGCGGGGGCCCCGCGGCTCTCCAGCTCCAGCAGCTCCTCCAGGTGGTAGGCAAAGGCCGAGACCTGCAGCAGCACGGCCGCCAGCGCCGGGCCCAGCTCAGCATCGGCGTCTCCCAGCTGCTCCCGCTGCTCCTCCAGCATCTGTGCCAGCAGCGTGCGGAAGGCCCGGTAGGCCGCCAGGTTGTCCAGGAGGCGCTGGGTGCCGGTCTGCTCCGCCCAGCGCTCCGCTGCCGCCGCTGGCACCCCATCCACTGCCGCCACGCTGATGGAGGCGTCCAGGCCCTGCCGCTCCACCTGTGGGACAGACAGCCGGGATGGATGCCGGGACAGGGGGGACCTCCAGCATCCCCCCCCGAAGGAGTCTCACGGCAGCAGCCGCCTGCCTGCACTCCCAGCCCGGAACGCAGGGCGAACTCACATAGATGTCCAGGAGGTCGGTGACGTCCGAGCGCATCTTCCTGGCCAGGCGGATGCCACGGCTGCACAGGTCGTGGTGCCGGAGGGTGGCTGAAGGGGTGTCTGCTGCCGCCATGGCCCAGGCGGCTGTCCCAGGCTCACGGCGCAGTGCCCGCGCAGCCCAGGGAGGACAATCCCTTGCTGAGCTGGTGCATTCCAGCCGGGAGCTCCGCTCACGCGTCCACTGGCCCGGCTCTCCCCCTCTTCCGCGCCTGGGGCCTGGCACGACGCTGCAGATTCCCGCCTCTGGGATCAACAGCAACAGATTATTTCCCTAATTCCCCACGCTTTGCCACTCTAAGCTCGTTGCCCAAAACGCTCTCACCCGGCAGCGACAGGCTCCTTCCCCGCGGCACAGCGAGCCCCACTCTAATCCCTGGCTCAGGCCGGAGCACGGGAAACCGCTGCCGGGAAGAGGTGAGCAGAGCAGGGACGTTGCTCAACAGCTCAGCCCAGGCAGCAGGCTGGGGCCGGAGCAAGGCGCAGTGCTGGGGACAGAGCGAGGCCCAGCCGGGGGCTAGGATAACCCTCACCCTACAGCCTGACCCCAGCAGCCGCCTCCTGCCCTTTTCCTCAAGGGTGCTGGGAGCCCCCGGACACCCCTACTCCAGGGGTATGTCACACAGCAGCAGCCTCTCAGCATGAGTACCACAAACAGCCCTTGGGGTTGGTTTGTTTTCTTCAATACATTTATTTTGGTTACGTGTTACCCAGATGAAAAGAAAAACAGAGTAGAAAAGCAGCTTCCCTTGGCCACCACAGCACCCCCCAGCACCAGGCCCCCATAACCTGCACCCATCTCATCCTACATCTCAGGGTTTTATTGGGGTCAGGGCCCCAGCTTCCTTTCCAGGAAGGAGAACAATAAAATAAATACAGGGGAAAAAAATACAAAAAAAGTTTATTGCAAACTACTACAATAATTTATTGAAGCAAACTGCATGCGAGTGAAGGAGAGACACAGAGAGGAGGAGCTGCAGGAGGGCTGTGTCAGTTGTAGAGTTTCGGAGAGAGAAAGGAGTTACATCAGACTCTGCTGCACTGAGGGCGAGCAGGCTGTGGTTAGAGGACAGACAGGCAACTTGCTGAGACAGAAAAAAAAAAAAAAAAAGGGAAGCGATGAGGGCATGGGAAGGTAAGGCAGGGACCAGGGGTTCAGGCCAGGAGCAACACAGGAGGCAAACGAGCTGCTCGGTGCTGCTCAGTCCTGCACCCCGCAGCAAGTAGCAGTGCTCGGGGCAGGGGAAGGATGAGGCCTCGCCTCCTGGCCAAGCCCGGCACTGCATCACCAGCTGCAAGCAAGCTCCTGACCCGAAAGCATTCATTTTAGTGTCAGAGAGCAAACCCCAATCTCTCCCATTTCATTTAGTGTTCTGTGCAAGGCTCTGCCTGCCACGCAACGCTCCCTGGAGTGGTGGCAGGGCACGAGAAGCAGCTCCTAACCTAGGAGATCAATCTGCAGCTGCCAGCAAGCATGCCACAGTGCAAGCTGCATGCTCCTCTCCTTAATTCCCCTGGATAGAAGAGCCACACTGCTGGGGGTGAACCCACCTCTGTGCACTGCATGGTGCCCCTTCAGTTAGTAATGCTTCACAAAGGGAATTCCAATTTGACCCAAGCAAGAAGCAGGCCGTGCCAGCTAAAGCAACTGCAACAGTCCCACACCACTGTGCCAGGAGTCCTGTGCTCAGCCTACCACTCACCCTCCAGCTCACACACACGGGAGCCACAGTACAGGACCAGCAGATACCCACACCCAGGGCACAGACCAACACACTGCATCCCTGCAATAGCACTCTGCTTTGCTCCAACACAGACTTCAATGTCAGTGGGAAGGGAAAGGGGAAATCAGGACAAGTGACCCAGTAAGTGCTGTCAGACTTTGGGCTAGAGCTGGATTTCCAGGCAGCACAGGCGACAGAGTGGGCGTTTGGAGTCAGTTTCCTGTAAAAACTTTCCAATTCAATTCCATGTTTTATTGCTGATCTCCAGACCCCGGATACTTGACTTTGCCTGGCTGCTGTTACAGACCGGTTCTGCTGACCTCAGGCTTGGACAAAGCACTTCAGCTCTGTTCCCAGCACATAAACACAACTGAAAAAAACAAGTAAACTGACAGAAAGCCCAGGTTATTGGTCACCTC